TCCTTTTTTTCCATAATAGATCTTCAGTTGCTCATCAATTCGCATCATAAATTTTAGAATAAAATACCCTATGTGTATTTTTAATATGATATCTACTGCCCATATTCTAATCTTGCCTATTTTTTAATCATTTTTGTTGTTAATTTAAACTGACAATAATTTCCATTACAAGGAATAAGCACAAAGGGATAGCATTATCATGGACTCGATTTTATCAGTAGTGAACAATCTTTAGGCATAAAGAAAATTAGGAAAGAAAGTCAACATATTCTATTTTGAGATAGTACGGAACAGTCAGATGTGTTTTCTAGTCTTTGGAAAAGCACATTTATTCAAAGAAAACTTCATTATGTTTCCTCCGCCAGATTGCTGAGAAACAAAAATGCTGATGAACTATTGGAGGCAATGAGAATATAATTATAATCATACTGATATTAATAATTTTGGGTTTTTTTTTCAAGATTTTATTTATTTATCTATGAGAGACAGAGAGAGGCAGAGACACAGACAGAGGGAGAAGCAGGCTTGCTCGATCCCCGGACCGAGGTCAAGCCCTGAGCCAAAGGCAGACGCTCAACCACTGAGCCACCCAGGCGTCCCTAATTTTAATAATTTTGAAGCCTCTCCAAACACTTTTCCGTGTAGTGTAGTTTGCTTTTAACCATTCTGAATGTCATGTATGCTTTTCAGAATATGATGAATGCTAGTGATCTTATCCTGTCCTTCTGCCCTCCCCGTAGATGCACATATACATGTAATCTTCCAAATATTACATATCACTTCATGTAATTTTTAAATTTGCTGAAGCCCAGTCATTTGCTTGGATATGGAATTCTTTGGAAGTCCAGCGTAGGGTGCCTGGGGGGTTCATTTGGCAAAGCATTTGCCTTCGGCTCAGGTCATGATCCCAGGACCTGGGGTAGAGCCCCGCTTCTGGCTCCCTGCTCTGTGGGGAGCCTGCTTCTCCCTCTCCCTGCCACTTGCCCTGCTTATGCGCTCTCACTCACTCTTCTCCCTCTCTGTCAAATAAATAAAATCTTTAAGAAAAAGAAAATTCCAGCCTAAATAAATCTCTTCTGTAGTTTAAGTATAATCAGCTGAAAGTAATCTTGTCTACTGAACTCCTATGAAATGCTACATGATCCTTTTCATGACATTTCTTTCTGCCTTTTATTATAACATTAGATTTATCTCAGCCTCACATCTAAGCTATAACTTCTTTGAGAGCATGACTAATTTTTGTATTCCTGACAGAGACTGAATGAATAAAGGAGAACACAGTGCTAGGGAAAAAAGTAACACATAACATACATATAATTTACTATGAAAATGTATCTATTATATTAAGCCCAGAATTAACCGATGCTACTAAAGTAAGCCCAAAATTTAAAAAATGTATTTCAAAAGATCAAGGCAGCCAGAGGTTTAAGAAGCTGTTAATGTTTTGAGACAGTTGTCTCCCATTTTGGCTATTGAGAAGCTTTGTTAAAGAAGGACTCTAAGGTTCTTTAAGAGAAAATTGTAGTTTAAGATGGGTCATAGAATAATTTGAAATCATTTAATTCCCTTAGACCATCTTAATCTTCCAACTTACCTCAATTAAATTATAGGGCAATTCAGAGGTTTGGCAAGCCATTCTCTGTAAACTCTGAAGAGAGGTGGACTTCAGAGGAGTCACTAGAAGATGGATAAAAAGCAAAGTTATCATGTGCTTTCAAACGAATGTACTCCACAAACTATAGACCACAAAAATTAGGACAAGAAGAGAAAGAAGTGGTAACATGAAGCTAGCTAGCATGGCTTCATAAAGAACAAGCCAAACGCACATTTTTGTTGATAAAACATGACTTGCTTGTTGTGGGTCCATTTTAGCTAAATCATTAAGCATTAATGCCATCACCTCTTTTCTAATATCGGCAATGAATACTCAGGTCTCCATCATCAGTGTAATATCTTCAAGTGACTTCAGTTTGCAAATGCTCTGTTAGCACATTCTCCACATCTGGCTTTACCAGGACTGCACATAACAGGCCTATTACTTAACTCTCATCAGCACTTTCAATATCTCATATGCTCATTCGGTCAACTGCTCCCATTGTTGCTTCATTTTAATTTTGTGGGATCACCCCTGATCCTTTTTCAAGACATCTTCTAAGCCTTTTCTTAAGTAATTCACTGACTCTAAAGATGTCAGGTATTTTAAGACCACTGTCACAATTTTAAGATTATAAATGTATAAATGCAAATTTAATCAATACCTGTTCAATGCAAAATATACTTTGTGTAAAAAAACTATACTATGAAAAAGCAAATATGAAAACCATGCATTTTAAAATTTTACACAAATGTTTAATAGATTTCAGACTGTGTTATTTAAAAACAATTATGAATATTTTACCTACAGTTAATATTGTGATACTGGTCAATTAGTTATATTTGGTCTGTATTTAAATGAATCCCTCCCAGTTTTGAGACTTAATGAAAGAATTTGCATATACTAAAGTCATTAGTGCCATTTTATTTCTTTTAAAGATTTTATTTATTTGAGAGGGAGAGCAGGAGCATGATGTGGGGAGGAGCAGAGGGAGAAGGAGAAGCAAACCTGAGCAGGGAACCTGATTCAAAGAGGGGGATCAGTCCCAGGACCCTGAGATCATGACCTGAGCTGAAGGCAAATACTTAACCAACTGAGCCACCCAGGTACCCCAGTAATGACTGCCATTTTAATAAAATTTCAAAATTTTGAGAACATGTTTTTATTACAATATAATTATGCTTTCTGCTTTAGGCCATATTTAAATTTTTATTTCTATTGTCAACAGTGTCTTGATAGGAGAACTAGAAATAAAGAAGTAATTCTTTCATTTAGTAGCAATACTTTGGGGATTTTTTTGGCTTTTTTTAAATATTTTTTTATTGAAGTCCAATTTGCAGGCATATAGTATGATACCCAGTGCTCGACTCATCAAGTGCCCCCTCAGTGCCCGTCACCCAGTCACCCCATCCCCCTGCCCGCCCACCTCCCTTTCCACTACCTATTGTTCATTTCCCAGAGTTAGGAGTCTCTCATGTTTTGTCTCCCTCTCTAATCTTTCCCACTACAGGGGAAAGGAGGGAAAATGAGTGAGGGTTTTTTTTGTTTTGTTTTGTTTTGTTTTTCTAAATCAGAATTGAAGAGGTAAAGGGTCTTCTGCACTTGGTAATTTGATTGGGTGACTGCAAGAGTTCAGGGACTCATGTCTTACAGACCACAAGAAGAATAAACATTGCATTTTCCTCTTGAAGGCCCTAAAATATTTTAAAGGATGTCAGTTTATATTGAAACATTCCCTGGAGCTCCCACTTTAGCAAGAAGCTAAATAAAAGAAGTTTTAAGTTTTCCCAATACTAATGGAGATTTACTTTCTAGCCCTTTTCTCTGGAGACAAATGTAGGTCTCTCCTCAAGGGTAGAAAGATTTGCATTGGATTCTAAAGGCTAGAAATACCTTTTCTGCTCTCTCCAAAGTGTTTCAGTATGTTTTGACATACTGCTTGATGATTTTGCATTAGAGATTTATCCTTTTTGAGATAATAAAATGCAAATATCTCTGAAAGGCTTTCTTCTACTTTAGTCATATTCATATGGCTACTAGTGAACAAAATGTGTTTATATGGTACAGGATAAAAGGAAGATTGCCAGCCAACAAATCCCTAGAGTCTGTACTACATTAAATGTTGCTTAGCAATTTCCACAATTTTCTCAATCTAGTTTACTAATAAAGACATTAGAAATCAAGGGCAGGTGCATATGTTACATGAAGTTGTGAAAGTGGTATTTATTCTATGTTTCTAATCTCTCTATATTGATTAAAAAACGAAGGAAATGGCAGGTTCATAGGTGGTGTGGTAAGGTGGCAATAATTTATGTGGATAATATAGAAAGGTGTTTCCTAGGAGATAATTTTTATTTATTTATTTTTTCTTTAAAAAATTAATTTTATTTATTTTTTTTCTTTAAAAAATTAATTTTATTTGATTCAGAGATACAGAGCTCGTGTGTGCACGGCGGGGGGGGGCAGAAGGAGAAAATCTCAAGTAGACTCCCCACTGAGTGATCTCAAGACCCTGAGATCTTGACCCAAGCTGAAACCAAGAGTCAGACAATTAACTGACTGAGCCACACAGGCACCCCTCCTCCTAGAAGGTACATTTTAGGCAAGGCCTTAAAATGAGGTATAACACCCAGTTATGAAAAAATCTGTGGGAAGGAATTTTCAGACAGAGAAAAGAAGTATTTAGGACCTGAAGTATGGAACGTGACTTGTCAGAGACTAGGTAATTTTCATTTACATTATTTTATGCATTTGATTTTACTACTCAGGTTAGTCTATATAAGGGCTTCCACAAATTAGACCCTGCTTGAAATTTAATTCTCGCCTGATCCTTTCTCATCATGCTCCATGCTAGTCGGTGCCTCTGTGACTTTGTATAAGCTGTTTCTTTTGTTAAATAGCCTCTCATTCATTTGTTCTTGGCTGATAAACTGACTCATCTCCTAAATTGCATTTCAAGCACTCCCTCTTTTAGGAAGCTTCCTCTCATTCTCTTTTGCCCACCATCCCTAGTTACTCAAGTAACTTGACTTGTGCACTTGAGACACAGCTTTGCATTTATTGATTTACATGTCTGCTTTTATCACTAGTGGGTTTCTTTAGGACAGAGACATTGTTATAATTCATCCCTAGTACCTATGGTCTGCCATAGTAGTGGTAATATAGTATACAATATTAGTAGTATATAGCAGACACTCAGTAAATCGTTGTTAAACAAATCAGTGGGGTATCTTTTTTGTTGTTTAACTTAATATGATAATTGTCTTCAGAACAGTTTCCATGACATACTTATGATAATTAATAGCTATAAACTAACTCTTCACTATATTCTTTAGCCACTAGGATGTTTATCATTTCATTTCAAAGCAAAAAGATGTTAAAGAGAGTTTGTATTTAATGCAAACAACATTCATGGAAATATTCTGAAAAGATTAATTTCTGGCATACAGTTTTCAATTCAGTTTTTTGTTTAGCATATTTGTAATAGATTTTGAGCCTACTCTAAAAAATGTTGGCATTGAGAACTAGGTAGTATTTAATGAAAATCATGATTTAATAGCATGTTTTATGTGGTTTGTTTCTTTTTATGTTTACTTAATTTTTTTAAGGATTTTATTCATTCACGAGAGACACAGAGAGTGAGAGACGCAAAGACATAAGCAGAGAGAGAAGCAGGCTCCCTGCAAGGAACCTGATGCGGGACTCGATCCTGGACCCGGGATCCTGCCCTGAGCCAAAGACAGATGCTCAACCATGGAGCCACCCAGGCGTCCTGGCTTGTTTCTTTTTAATTTAGAGTAGTACAGTTATATTTGAGATCTTCATTACATTTTATTTACCAGAACTCAATGTTCTTTCTTAACTTGGAAACTAAGGGCTTTTCCAATTCTTAAACGCCTGGCAGAAGTAGAATAGCTGGATGAGAACCTGGGAAGAGAAATTATGGAGGATGTGGCGAAAAAGTGGGAGGAGAATATGGACATTTTGGCAGCACCAAACTTGAAGAGATGACAGAGGGTATAGCATTAAAGTAACCATGCAGAATTGGAAATACATGACTTAGCGCTTCCCCTGCCCCAGGAAATTTCAAGTATACTGGCACGTGCTCAGTGTCTCCAGAGGTGTCTGAGTGATTGGCCTATGTTCTAGGCTTTATCCTAATCAGGAAGATGCTTCCACCCTGTTGGTTCTCCTTGACGTCATTAGGGATACAAATGTGCGATGCAAATTTATTGAATGAACTAAGCTAATGAATAAATACATAAGCCTTTAATATCAGCCCCCTATTTATTTGTCTTTAAAGTTCATATCAATACATGCTCCTAGATTCTTATTTCATCTAATGGGATAGAATCTACTACTAATGTTCTTTGTTTTGATGCTCAAATGATTTGCTTTGCCCTGTAGGGGCTCCTTCAAGATGGTTTGCTTATCCTTTTGAAACATGCCTTTGATTATTTGAATACTTTTTTGCTTCCTTATATAACAAAATATTACAATTTTATCTTGCTCTTTCTCTTCCTCAGTTCTAGAATTTGCCTTTCCCTCCCCCCCAGGGAACCCTATTCCTTTTAGTGGAGAATCATATTTAGAAACCAAGATATGAAATTTTGGCTTAATTGTTGTCATTAGTGGGTTATTATTTCTAAGCCCTTTCAGTGGGCAGAACTAGGAAATGTATATAGAGGCATTTCAAGTATATTTATATATATTAACAACACATATATTAAAAAATTATTTCAAACTGATACTTCCAATTAACATCACAAGTCCCTTTACTTTTTATCAGAAGAGAGAAATCATTGGCTTAACATGAACAAAACACTAGCATTTGGGAGATTTTTTACAGAGAGAAAGAGAGAGCAAGAAGGCACAACTAGGGGAAAGGGCAGAGAGAGGGAGAAGGAGACTGCCCGCTGAACAGGGAGCCTGACTCAGGTCTCAATACCAAGACCCCAGGATCATGACCTGAGCTGAAGGTGGATGCTTAACCAACTGAGCCATCCAGGCACCCCAAAATAATAGCATTTTTGAAAGAACAGTATTTGTTACCTATATAAAATGGGCCTGGAAAGTAATAATATTGATCTCATACAAAGCCCACTGAAATATGTTTCATTAATATTTAAACATAATGTATATTAGAATCTTAGATATCAGAGGGAGAGGGAGACATTTTCAAATTCTGATCTAGATGTTATACAGTAGACTTGCAGTGTTGTTCTGGATCTGTGTTAGAATAGAAAAAGAGATCGTGGGGCAAAAACTTGTCTTAATCCTTCAAATGTTGTTAACCACATAGAGAAAGCATATTAAGCATACATTACACCCAGAATCTTGAAATGAATGCATATTTATGAGAGGAATATAAACAAACAAGGAAGTGGTACAGTGAGACACTGACATAATGCACTACCTACTTGGGAAAAATACTTTTTTTCTCTTTGGATAAATACAGATACAATACTAGCCATTCCACTTAGCAGTAGCTTGACTACCAACATGAATAACTTGTTCAGAGATGAAGAGGAGGAGTTGTGAACATCTAAACATTAGGATTTGCATCATAATAGTGCTAGGACTACATATTCTAACAGAATTTTCTCCCAGCATGTCTTGGAGAACTTTTATCCAATGGTCTGTGTCTCCCCTACTAGTTTGAAAACCAAAGCCTCTCTCCTTGTTTTACTAATCCCAAAGATTAATTCAGTTGAAGTCCATGATTTTTCTTTACTGGTTCCTTTGCTTTATCTAGAAAAATAAAATGTAAAAAATATAATTTGGCAGGTTGAAATGTGTTTTCTGTAGTATAGTAAAACAGTTCATTTTAATACTGCATCATATATGCACTTGCTAAACATTGCATTGTAATGAATTAATGACCAGAAAATAATGTAAATACATGTGTATATATTTGTGTAATATGTGTTAGCTTCAGAAATCATTTTTTAAAAGTGAATACCTAAGGGGCACCTGGGTAGCTCAGTCGGTTAAGTGTCTGACTCTTGAGCTCAGCTTGGGTCTTGACCTCAAGGTCACTGAGTTCAAGCCCCACTGAGTTAAAAAAAAAAAAAGGAAGACCTGAAGAAGCTATGACTATAATTTAAAACATGTTTTGACCAGTGTTAGAAGGAAAAATTAATTAACAACGATTAAGTAGTTATATGTGATATACACCATGTGTATTGCATCTTATTTAATTATCAAACAATATATTTGCTAAAGCTGCCATTCCCCCATTTTATGGAAGAAGAAACTGAGATTACATACTTCATTAAACTTGGTCAACTTCTTGTAACTAATACTAGTGCTTGGATCAAGCCACATATTTTTGACTCTAGACCCTGTATTCTCTTGAGGGCATCTCATAAAGCTTTTCACTGCCCCTGCCCAAAAACAACTTTTGCTAAATTGATTCTTTGCTTCTTGATCTGTAAAAGAAGGATGTTGGCCTCTCTTAGTGATCTCCATGTTTTTAATAAGCAATAAATAACATTCACCACACATAATAGTTTCTCTGTTCTATATTCATTATTGCAAAACAACTATGGCTCAGTGATGCTTTGAACTCAGTTTCAATTTTATAATTTAAAACACATTTGTATACATATGAAAATACCAGTTGTGACAAGAGAATAGAAAGCTTTGTTTTGAAAGTAATTTGTAACTGACAGTTGACCATAGACATATTGCAAAGGTGGGGGCCACATACAGGGGTAAAAGTTGGCCTGGAGTTATTTTTTTCTATTTCTTTCTCTTGTAAAACAGTTGTAGCCGTTACACATTCTTATTGAAGTAGAATTAACATACAGTGTTACATTCATTTCAGATGTACTATATGATGATTCAGCAATTCTGTACATTACTCAGTGCTTATCATGATAAATGTACTCTTAATCCCTCTCATCTATTTCACCCATTCCCCTTCTCTACCTCCCCTCTAGTAACCACTAGTTTGTTCTTGTATTTAAGAGTTTGGTTTTTTGTTTGTCTTTTTTTATTTGTTTGTGATTCAACAATTTTATAGACTACTTAGTGCTCATCACAATAAATGTGCTTTTTTTCACCCATTCCCAACCCACCTCTGTAACTACCAATTTTTTCCTATATTTAAGAGTCTGGCTTTCTTTTTTGGGGGGAGGTCTCTTCTTTTTTCTTTGTTCATTTGTTTTGTTTCTTAAATTCTACATATGAGTGAAATCACATGGTATTTGTCTTCTTCTGATTTATTTCACTTAGCATTGTATCCTCTAGGTCCATCCATGTTGTTGCAGATGGCGAGATCTCGCTTATTTTTATGTTCCTCCACATTATATTTATCCATTCATTATGGATGGACACTTGGGTTGCTTCTGTATCTTGGCTATTGTAAATAATGCTGTAATAAACATAAGGGTGCCTGAAGTCATCTTAAATGAACTCTATCCAAAAGGACTGCCTAATAAGCAATGGGATTCCAAAAGAGAGTCTATGAAGACATGAACCTGCTGAGAACCAAATCACAGTGAACTGTAGGTGAGAGATGCCTACCAATAAATGGAGAGAGAAGTAAATAGTCTGAGGAATCCTGCAAGGAACTGAAACACTGTGCAAGGGGGGGGGAACAAGCCCCAGCTTTGATACCTGTCAAACTAGACAGCAATGATGGTGACCAATAAAAGTACCAGCAGGCAGGAGTTTTCCTACACCCTCATCTCTCCACCATCTTGAACCCTGTTGTGATCAGAATCAGTGCAAGTTAACAACTGATACAAAGAAAGACAAGTTGGGAAAATAGAGGAATATCTATCCAAGCCACTCTGTATACTGCAGGCCTGCCTTCTGTTGCATGACTGATTAGGTGAGTGCAGAAGCTTTAATTTTAAATGAAGCTTGTAGTTTTTATTATACTCTGGCTGTACCTATCACTTTCAGAATTGAAATAGTTTAAGTAACTAGAGTACCAGTGGGATTTTTATTATTTAAGACAGCTGTGGGACACCAACCAAGATTTTATCCAGGGGAAGGAAAAGAATTACCCTATGGAGCACACTTTAATGGACATTATGAGACAAAAAGTTACTTAATGATTTCATTTGGCAATTCCGTTCCTTCAGAATAGCATCATAGATTTATATATCCATGTATCATATGTCAAAACATACACATTTATCTTTATATGTGCATGTATCATATGGAACACGTTGCCTTTTGCAAAGTTTATTGTTTTTTAGAAATTCTTACTTGATTATTCCCTTAATTACATTTCTTTATATTCTCTCTACCTAAATTCTTTAGCTATAAGCAAAGAAGGGTCAAGTTTTTATATACAATATTCTATGTTTTTCTTTATAATTGGAGAAAATATTTTATCTAAACCCATGTGCCCATGATATATGACACCCCATCATATTTGCATGTGAATGTTTATAAAGTGCAAATCATCTCAAATCACAGGATCAGAATTAGATTTAAAAAAATGTATTCAATAAGATGTGTAAGATGAGATAGAATTAATTCTAATTGAATTCACAGAGGATTTGAAATTAGATGTAAATCTGTAATATTGTATTACATTAAGTATGAATTAGTATTTGATTTGCATTCAGAAAAATGTACTATGTTCACTTCTGAGAACCATTTAGACAGAACATTGGAACAGATATCTGATCTTTATTTTCTCTTCTTCCCCTGCCACCTAAATTTTATTGAAAAGTCTGTCCAACCTGATTATCAATATTAAAGACTAGTTTTGAGAAATCCAGAGAAATTAATTACATTTTAGTCAGAGATAGAATACAGTAAGAAGTATTTTTATGTATTGAAAACAACGTCTCTCAAGAGGTAACAATTTTAATACCTAAACACTAACCTAACAAATGCTGAATTTTAGGTATTAAGGCTAGAAAAGATACACAGAACACAAGAGTTTCTTGAATAAATGTTCCACATTTAGCTTAAAGAATTCATTTAGAACTTGGGCATTAAAGAAATGTTATTTGAAACTGATATTGGTGATTAACTTAGAAAATCTTTAGAATTTGGATTTAGGTTCTATGATTCAGAATTTAGGTGTTATCCAAAGGAGATTAGTATTGGACCCTAAATCTACCATTTAATGAGGTGTATTAAAAAAAATTCTGGCATTAGAATAAAAGCTATGTGATGTCATTCTTACTACTATGATGTAGGTAATAAAGTTTATAAAATGTGTATTTATATTATTTCATTATTTACCTTGACTATTCATAAAAAATAAAACCCCCAATTATAGCATAAATGAATAGTTATTAATATTTAGTATTACTTTGAAAATTGAGACGGCTTAACATTACTGGTTGTAATTATATAGCATTCTGAATTCAGTGAATCCTTTGACAGTTCTAATTTCCTACCTAAGAGCTCTTCTCTGCTACTCCCTTGCTGACAGGACCTCTTTTTGTTCAGGTTGGCAATGTTCCCAGATAAAATACTCACCTCCTCAGTTTCTGTTGCAGCCAAGGGTTGCAAGGTAACAAGAGTGTAGGCAATGAGATACAAGTGTATTTCTGTTAGAGATTTTGGGTATTACTTTTGTTTTCTAATTAATACAGACACTCTTTTTGTCCTTTTCTCTTTCTCCAGCCTACAACACAACTGAAGAGGGAGAAGCCATCATGCCTCTATGATTAGACAAGTCTGAAGATAAAAGCTTCACTGTGAGGATAATGGAACAAAGTGCTAGAATGGGCCTGCACTCCCTTGCCTTAGACTTGTGGAAGGAAAATAAAATGCTGTTACAAGTTTAATCCACAGAGATGGGCTTCTGTTTCCTGCATTTCAATACATCACAGTTCATAAATTTATATAATTGGCAAAAGTATCCATTTTAAAGATTAACAGATACCTAACTCTCAGTTAAATCTCAGAAAAATAGATTTTTAATCCGTTGTGATTTTGAAATTGATCTCTCAGTCTTTCAGCCATCAAACTATTAAATACATTTAAACATTGTTATTCATTGTTAGAGTGAATCCTGTTATTTTCTAAGTGTATTATTGTATGTGTGCCCACACACAGGTGTGTGTGTGTGTGTGTGTGTGTGTGTGTGTGTGTGTGTGTGTGCGGGCGCGTGTATGTACATATACTCAGGGAGCCTGAAGGAACCAATATTTATTTTATGAAGCACTCAATGCTAGTTCTCTCTACTCATTCTTTTCTCTTTTTTTAGATTTTATTTATTTTTTGAGCAAGAAAAAGGGCAGAGGCAGAGGAGAGACAGATTTTCAAACAGACTCCACACTGAGCGCAGAGCCCAATGTAGGGCTCCATCTGATGATCCTGAGATCATGACTTGAGCCAAAACCAAGAGTCGGACAATTAAACGACTAATTCAGATGCCCCCTTCTGACTCATTCTTTAAGCCTCTGCATTCAATACCCACTGCCTTCGGGAATAAATCCTTATACAACCCGTTAAAAATGATCTAATGATTTATTTATCTTCGATTTATCATTGGAGGTTAGTGTGTGTGTGTGTGTGTGTGTGTGTGTGTGTGTTTTGACCCATTTACTTGTTTGTATACCTACTTTCTTGAGGTTTGTATCATAAATGAATGCTGAATTTTTGTCTAATGCTTTTTTCTGTATCTATGAGGTAATCGTATGATTTTAATCATTTCATTGATGTGGTGTATCACACTGTCTGATTTGTGGATGTTGAACCATCTTTGCATCCCTGGAATAAATCCCACTTGATATGGCATACGATCCTTTCAATGTATTGTTGAACTCAGTTTGCTAATATTTCATTGAGGATTTTTGTATCTATATTAATCCATGATATTAGCCTGTAAAGTTTATTTGTGGTATCCTTGTCTGATTTTGGTATCAGGATAATGCCAGCTTAATGAAATGAGTTTGAAAATGTTCCCTCCTCTGATATTATTTTGAAGAGTTTAAGAAAGATTAGTATTATTATTCTTTAAATCTTTGGTAGGAAAAAACAAAAAAATCTTCTGGAAAATTCACCAATGAAGCCATCTGCTATGGACTTGGGTTTTTGGGAGGTTTTTGACTACTGATTCAGTCAGCCTCTTTGAAAATTAGTCTGATGTTGAGATGTTTTATTTCTTCATTATTCAGTCTAGGTAGGCTGTATATTTCTAGGAATTTATCCATATCTTATATGTTGTTCAATCTGTTGGCTTATAAATGTTCATGCTACTCTCTTTGATCCTTTATATTTCTGTGGTATCTGTTTTAATATCTCATCTTTTATTTCTGATTTTATTTATTTGAGGCCTCTCTTTTTTTCTTGGTGAATCTAGCTAGTTTTATCTATTTTTTTTTAAAGAAACACGTTTTAGCTTCATTGATCTTTTCTATTTTCTGTTTAGTCTCTATTTCTGCTCTGACTTTGTTATTGTTTGCATTCTACTAACTCTGGCCTTAACTTGTTCTTCTTTTTCTAGTTTCTTGATGTATAAAGCTAGGTTATTTGAGATTTTTCCTTTTAAGTAGGTGTCTATTGCTATAAACTTCCTCCCATTTACTGTAACTGATGGTAAAGTATCCCATCAAAGAGACATTTCTTTGATCTGACTCAGACTTCTCTTACTGTCACTTAGCCACACTGAGTATTGAGAACAATTATAAAGGATTCTGCATCCAGTTCCTATGGGATGGGGAGGAGGAGTTGTGCACACCAACAAGCAATTATTGGATACCCAGTAGGTATTCTAAAAGTCAACCCAATCCTAACAGTATTTACCCAGAGACAGCATCAGATTCCACAATTTAAAAGTTTAGTTTCACAAGACTGCCCAGCCTCCTTCAGATTCCAACTAGCTATAGATAAGGTTCCAGTGACACGCCCCCCCCCCCCCCAGATTCAAATGATTTGATAGGGAAGCTCAAAGAACTCAGGCAAATAGTTTACTACATTACCATTCATTATAAGAGGATATAACTCAGGAACACAAGACAAAATAGATGTGTAGGTCAAGGTACGGGGAAAGGACTTCAAGTTTCCATGCCCTCTCTGATACACCACTCTCCCTGCATCTCTACACGTTCACCTACCCAGAAGCTCTCTGAATGATCATTTGGGATTTTATGGAGGCTTTATTTCATAGGCATCACTAATTAAATCATTAGCCACTGACAAATTATTCAACCTCCAGCCCTCTTCTGCTCCTCCCTAGAAGTCAGGGTGGGGAAGTGGGGTAGGTCTGAAAGTTCCAACCCTGTATTCTTTTTAGTTCTCAATTGCTTTCCAAATGTTACCTCATAAGCCCGGTTGTGGAAAGGAGCCTGTTATGAATAACAGTACAGCCATTTCATTTTGATGTCTCTGAATCCATTTCAGGAGCTGAGGACAAGAAACCAAATATTATAACAAAAGATACTCCTATTGCTCTATTGCTCTATTGCTAAAAAGTTCCATGGATATTGGGAGCTGTGAGCCAGGAACCATGAATGAAGACAAAATACATATATTTCTTACAACTCATGATATAAAAAATTCAGAGATCTGGGATCCCTGGGTGGCTCAGCGGTTTGGCTCCTACCTTTGGCCCAGGGCGCAGTCCTGGAGTCCCGGGATCAAGTCCCGCATCAGGCTCCCGGCGTGGAGCCTGCTTCTCCCTCTGCCTGTGTCTCTGCTTCTCTCTCTCTCTCTCTCTGTCTCTCTCTCTCTCTGTCTATCATGAATAAATAAATAAATCTTTAAAAAAATTCAGAGATCTTTAAGTTGGGGGGAAAGTAATACAACCATTTCACTGATTAGTAAATTAAGCTTTAAAAATACATGTCCTTGGTCAAAATCATTATTGATGCAGATGCTGTTTGTGCTAAGAGTGAAAATGGCTTAAACTATTTACCACTTAAACTACCCTAGAAATAACATTTCTCAACTTTCCATGAGCATGACAGAAGTTTAAGTTACTAAGTCAGAATATCTTGAAAAAAAAAAGATGAAAACAACTGTTTCCCAAGGTCTGGACACTGGTAGACTGAGAAGCCACTGGAGTCCATCATATACTTTGCCCCTCAAGTGTGAGCAGTACCTAAGAAGAAGGCTGAGCAAGGTCGCAATTCACACCCACTACCCATCTCTAGTGCAAGAGATGCAGGGATTTTGCTAACAACAAATTTAAACTGCTGTCCATTTACCACAATATACTTTACTTTCAGTGATAACTCACAACATTACTACCTTAGACTTTATTACCCTCTAAGTACCTACAGCTCTCAAACCCTCAAAAAATTCAGTTCCCAGCAAAGCAATATAAATAAAGAGTAATCAGTGTTAATAACCAAGAAAATGACCCAAAGAATGGCAGAACAGACTCTCCACAGCTAAATGTAAAGAAGAAAACACATTAAAGAGGTTAGGAAGGGCAGAGATGCAGTTGGGAGCCAAGTAGACTGCAGAACTGCCCATAGGAGGGAGGGATATGGTGGCCACGGTTGGGGAACAGGACCAGATCCAACAATAGGCACCCGAAACATGGGGGACCCACACTGGAAAGAAGAATCTCTATAACAGTTGGCTTTGAAGAACAAAGGAGTTTAACATTCCGTTGGGATTAATACCTGGAACTTTAAAAAATAGTGGGCTCAGCTCTGGGAGAGCTGGAGGGTGGAGTCCCTGCTCTTAAGAGACAGAAAAAAAAAAAAAAACAGTGATATACAGCATAGAAGCAGCAAGTGTGAAAAATCAGGGTATATGGGAAGGAGATTTATTTCCTAGTGTCAGGGCATGTGCTGGAGGGGCAGGATTCTTTCGGAGACTTCTCCAAGAACAAAAGGTCTGTGTGACACCATTTCCCTCCTCTGCCCCCTAGCCTACATACACCTGTGGGAACCAGCACAGCACCAACTCTCCACTGAGCTTGCAAAGAGTATCCCACACCCAGCACTCTTTGTGGACCCGCCCCTCTAACCCAGCAGTTCATCAGGAGTTTTCTCAGCGGCTGCAGATCAACTCCAACAGTGGACCAACATGAACCTGCTGAACCATGTGTCCAACCGCTCATTCCCCTGCGGACAAGCCACTTCCAGTTATGCCCTTGGCAGGAGTTTATCCAAAGGGGTGCCACAAGTCTGTCAATGTGTAAGCAACCCTGACAGGGCCAACACCACTCCAAAGTGATTCCTGCCCTGGGGAGAGCGGAAGATAACCACACATATCAATCCAACTGCAGCCCCAGCAATGGGCTGGGGGCAGACATCTGGTCTGACTGTAGGCCCCACCCACCAATAAAAGCCTTTTAGGGCACAATGGTGGGAGAGTACCCCGTAGTTCAGTGCTATGGCCTCTCTGGCCAGTGCCTCATCTGACTCAACTCAAGCCCAAGGTGACTCCCAACTGGCCTACCAACAACACAAAGACCAAACCCTGCCCACAATAGGCAAAGCTGGGGCTGCAGTTGGAGGATTCTAGTATCAGTGGTGGTAGGAGACTGAAAATTTGTGACTAGCTTTGGCACATGATTTCTAAGGTTTTCACCTTTGCTGCTTTGGAATAAAACATAGGTAAAATGAGAAGCTTTGGAATATGTGATGGCTATGGTATCTTAAAAGTAGGGGGTCAGCAATAATTATTAGGATTGTGCAAACCAGCTTTTCTTAATGGCATTATAGATGATGGAAAAGTAAAATACTAAGTTCAGGTCAACCAAGCATCATCATAAGTAATGTGAAATCCAGAGGGCTTCCATCAGTTTTTAGAAGACTCTCATCCATTGCATCAGAACAGAATGTGCTTAGAATTAGGTTCAGAATCTAATTAAAGTTTCAGTACTCCCACAATGCATAGCTTCAAGATCTCTATGCTAAAGTTAGTGGATTAGGAAAGAAATGGGATATTGAGACAAAAAAAGGATCATTTGGGTAGACAAACCTGAAAAACTTTCACTTCTAAATTCTCTTGAACCATCTAGACCAGCAAAGAAAGCCCTATTTCCCTAGCCACAGGAGCAAATGTAATGACATCTTCTGAGGCAGGTACCT